ATATTTTTCTTCTGATTTTCTTTATTAGATTCTCAAGTTGGAGTTAGAAAATAATAATCTTCCTATTTTGCTGTGCATTATTTTTGCTGTTTACTTTTTCTTTTAATTTTCTTCTGACTTCTACATAGCATTTCAAAACCAAGGAGTTATAAATACCTCTTTAGTGCTAGAAAATTACACTTCTAAAAAATTGTGATAGAATTGAACTCCTATAAAGAATGTCTATAAGTGAGTCTAGTGATGCATTTTATCTAGCCATGAGTTTAAGCAGTGAATGAAAAAAAATGCCCTTTGAACAGTGCTTGGGGAAAAGTGCAGATAAAACCTTCTGCTGCCATTAGTTTGCCATTATCTAACTGCCAGTGGTAGGTGATTAATGCAGAAACACGTTGGACTTGAGAATACTTAAAAGTATGTTTTTAAAAATGTAAAAAAAATGCAAAATCCCATCTAAAGACACTGTTAAAATATTTTCTAAAACAATTTGAAAGTCTTTCTGCTTAAGCTAACATAATGGCTAACTTCACTTGATAAGAAATAGAGTTTAGAAAGGGTCAAACCTTGCAGAGAGAAAAAGATATTCGGAATGCTGGCATTTAAAGCGCCTTCTTGCATTTTAGTACATCCAACCAATTTGCCATCTGTCCTGTGCAAGAATACATCTAGTTAAAATGAATGGAATGAGCAGTCCAGGTTATTCACCTCAAGTAAATCCTTGCTAATCTTGGACAAGAGTTAGGATTTCTTAGCTTCTTTCTCGTTTTCCATACTTGAAATGTATTGATAGACCAGACCCCAAGAAGCCTCCACATTATAAGAAGAACCCCATAACAAAACAGGACCCCTTCTTTTTCAACCATCTCTTTATTTCTCAATATTTTTAATGGGAGAGGAATCTCTCATAAAAATTGATAATTCAATTCGCCAGGATATAAAGTTATACTATTGTTCACAAATCTGAAGTTTCTGATACTCACTAGCTGAATTATACTTCTCTCCTTCTTTGCCCCCTTTCCCATTTATATATCACCTTTTGGTCCATATAACAGCTCACATTTCAAAATTGTTGCACAAACAATGCAAAAATGTGTTTTTTTTT